GATATGGCGGCGGTGGCGGCTACTAAACTTTCATCATCTCCACTGAATTGTGAACTGACCATCGGATAGTACTACCACCTGACACTGTTGGAATTGAGTAAACAGCTTTTTAATTGTTTTATTTGTTTATCTTTTCTCATTTCGGAGACTGCCGTTAAATCTGTTCATCATTTGCTGTTTATTGTGGTGATGCTCATGCTGTGCTCAACTCTGTGCATTTAACTTTAAACCAGCGATTAACAGCGTATCAGATAAAAGCAGAAAGATGGATATTAACTCCCTGTATAATATTATTCTGAATTGAATTGTCTATTTTGTTACTTGTTCGACAAAATTATGTATTGGTTAAAAGTGAATCGTTTTCATTGTACAATTAAAGACTTAAATATTATGCAGTTGATGCTGGGAAAATAGGTACTTTTCTGCTGAGTGAGGTCCACATAAACAGACACGATAATTGCTGTTTTTGATGTCGACCCAATTGAAATAATGATTAAATTTGTTCATTTATTAAGCCTGGAATCTGCCATTTTACACAACTATGACCCGCAGGAAAAGCGCTTGCAGTTGCAGCTCGAATTGATCATTAAATAAATCTTGCCTGGGGACCCCATCATTTTTAGGCTATAGTCATTTAAACAGATAGTAGATGCGGCGGAATGTGGACAGTGTGAACATTCCCAAGATGTGGCGATTAGATTTGGACCGTTCTATGGATATGCTTATACGTTTTTGTTTTCTGAGTAAGCTGTGAGGTTGTGAAAGTAATATAAGCAATACCAATGTATTTATACGTTGATTTCGAATAAAACCTATTACATAGCATAGAAATCATAATATAATTATGAAGATTTGAAGAATAAATTTGTGCACCTTAACTTTGAGTACTTACTATAACCAAAATATAATTAGATCGAACGCAGAAATTAGATCGAACGCAGGAATTAGATCAAACTCCGGCGCGAGATAAACATATAAATACATTGAAAGCCGCGCCGGCGTTCGATCTAATTTCTGCGTTCGATCTAATTACATTTTGGTTACAGTTACTATTAGTATTAAAATCGAAATCAGCATTTACAAATGTATACATAACTGTCAAAATCCAATCGCACCCAACACTAATTCGTTAGATCGGCGAAATGCACCACTGGGCCAAGTCCAAAGTCGAGCTGCGAAGAATTGACATCGTCAATTAATGTTAAGATTGATTGACGATGTCAATCCATCGAGATCGTTGCTCTGCACTCTGCGAAGCAGAGCAACGATGCAAGAATGCTAGTCTGCGCGGCGCGTCGAAGCGGCGAAGTCCTCCAAATGTTAAAATTACTCTAACTAGAGCCCTCTCGCTTAATTGCAGTGACGCGTCACATATATACAGTATAGTAGTACGTTCACTTAACCATGTGCTTTCGCGCCACTTCGGGCGCGCTTGTTTCACAAGTCAAGAAAAGTTTTACCGCCGTGAGGCGGGCGCGCGCTACTGCAAGCGCAAAGGCTCTGGATAGAGCAAGTAGTACGTATAGTAGTACCGATGACCAAATACGCAAAAACTTTGACATACGTTGCATGATGCCACTTTTCGCGCGCGAAGCGTGCGCCGCCGAAGGACGGCATTCATCTTGACGGAAGTAGCGCGCGCCGCTTTCTCCTCTGTTCTCGAAATGAATTAGCCCGAGGCAAGTGCTACATGCTACGAAATAGTGCGCCGGGCTAGTTTGTTAGTATTAGGGGCCATTTACTTAGGACGTTCGCCAAAATCGCGAATTTGCAGTCCACCCCTTATATTAACGGGTTATACTCGTAAAATATCTGTTCCATATATTCAATATTGGACCAACTCGGCGCGCGTCCTGGTAGGTTGTAAACCTACAGTCCACCCCCTCCCCCTGTCCGGGTGTGTCCGAATTTTCAAAACCACCCCGCTCCCCTGCACGTCCGAATATTTCCAGCTACTACAATGTACAAATAAAACCAACTCAAATCACAAATTCATTAAGTGATTAGTGTTAAAGAATTAAAATTAATGGGACTTTTTCGTAAATTCTGCCAAAAGTTGCAGACGTCCGGATTTTTAGAAACCACCTTCCTTCCCCTGTCCAGATTTGTCCGAAATTCCAAAATCCCCCTCACTATTTGCTGGACGTTCAAAGTAGATGGCCCCTTAACAATGGACAACATGCATAAGGACTGCAATTTCTTCGCCACGCGCACGTTTTCAGTTTTGCGCGCGAAAATTGAATCAAGGATGGAAATCGAGCGCCATAGGAAATATTATTCGTTATCATGCAGTATGGTGCAATTACATGCTATGCAATACAAAGATTTTTCAATAATCAATAATGCATCTCAAAAAAAGAAATTCACAGAAAATGAACAATTTACGTTTGTGATGAAGAAATAAATGGTAGATTATGAGATCGGATTCTAAGGATCGTCTGCCTGCCTAGGTCGATCCAGATGAAATCTGTAACAAGTTTCGTGACAGCGCTTCTCTCCATTTATCTCTATCACTCATGAGCCAACTTAACTTATCAGGATCCAATCCAGTATCTTCTTGTAGGACGTCCTGAAAGGTCTTATGTGGTCGTCCTCTATACCGATGGCCATAGTATAGGAGGGTTGCCAGAAAAGGAGTTGCCAGAAAAGGAGTTGCTGAGCAGGTTGGTCTTGTAGACGGTACGGTGTTCAACAACATGCTTGCTACTGGTAGAGCCCCAGAGGAGCTCTTAGTCACCGCCATCCTCCCTATACCTAAAGGTAATAAAAGGTTCTGCCCTGAGAACAGTAGAGGCATCTCCATCCTGCCTGTTGCCACGAAGATCTACAACAGGCTACTTCTCAACCGCATCAGGAGCCACATAGAACCACGTCTACGAGATACAACCAAAATGGTTTTCAGCCTGGAAGGATCGTCTAATTGATATCAATTTGTTTGAGAGTTACACAGATTTCTTCTAAGGCGTTTAGAATTTGAAATCTTAACTTAGCTATTCCATAAAGTTTGCCAACAACTCTCCTGATCACTGAGTCGTTTTAAGATGGTATATTAAAAAAAAAGAAAAAAGGGGGGACCCCCAACCCATATTATGTAGCTGAGACACCTCACAGCAATTAGACCAAAGTAGAAAGGCAAAAAAGGCATGGACCGCCCCTATAAACAATGTCTCCTTCAACCTGATACCCAAGGAGAAGAGCTACGAGGGATAGATGATATCTATTGGCGTATTGCTCAGGATTTACGATTGTGCTCTGCCAATTGCATCACTTGATTTAATTTATTGTATACACTCCTTTTATGACATTTTATGCCAAAAAGACCAAAGTGGCTCTTTCTTGTGAAAGGTGTATCAACTACCTGCCAAAGCGGTAGGTTGGGAGTCCCCCCTAGGATCATTTCGTCCGTAAAATCTTACACAATATAAACATGTATATTACATGTGTTGTTCCTTCCTGAAATGGCTATTGATAGGTCTGCTTCTTGTCTGTAGGTATTTAAGATGTATGTGAACAAGTCTGGGCAGGTATATCGGAGGTTTGTAAGGGCTGCGATTTAAAGACATTTTCAGCCTCAACAAGCAGATTGCTTCTGTGGATTCATCTTAAAAGATCTGTCGGACTGCATGAATGGCCGCTTCCACTCCTCCTTCAACTTCAACTACATTATTTCTCTTTATAAAAAATGTCCGATTGTCAACTTTTATCTATCTTTTGAGAAAAGACAATTTTATTATTTATCACCAATTCAATAGTCAATACACAATCAATTAATAAATATATATCCAAATAAACTTGATTTCAAAGTAAATGATAGAAGTATGCTAGCAGCTAGCGCGCTTGTATTTAATCAATAATACACGCCGTTAAAGTGGGTCTGACCACACCGCCACTCACATTACCACAGCTGGTGAAAGGACCTAGGCGCTGTTAAGCTTTTATGAGCCCTGGTTGACTGCTGAGAGTGGCGACGGGTCTGATATTAATTTTGTTTTCCTTATATTCCAGTAAAATTTAAGTTTTAAGTTATGTGATTGTCATGCGATATTTATATTAAGTCACAGCTGCTCACAATACATTAAATTGATTATATAAAATTATTAAATATGCTCAATACACTTTTAGAATTTAGATACTGCATGTATATGCACATATTAGCTCATATAATACCAAATACCAATAACAAATAAAATATAAGCATGAAGAGGTCCAAAACCAACTCAAGCATGACACCAGATATAAACTAACATTAAACACATTGTCATCGGAAGCTGCAAGCTTATTATCGTATGATTCCACGTTGATCAGTTATTATGCAGTCACCTTCAGGCAGTGTCAACGGACCATGCGAGAAAGGTTTTTGACAGGCTGTGCCCTTACCATAATTAAACTGAACCATTGCCTGATGTCAATATGAGTGTTGGATAAGTGAGCCGCACAAGCGCTCGCGCATTTGTGTCGATCTGGCAAGTAGCGCTTGCATAATTTATCTACAAAAACGTAAATCGCGCGTTACGTAAAGTATCATTTTTCCCTTAAAATAATGTAAACTGTACAAACGTGTGTAACCTGCTTCAATGGTTTGTGTACTTGTGTGGTAGAGTGAGTGTAGAATGTAATGATTGATTGAATCTGTTTATTTTGTGGTGTATATATATGATGTGAGTGACAGGTGTAAAATGAAAAAAGATATGAATGGGGGTCTTTTCATAGGAATGTGTTGAAATTTAAGTCCTGCCAGTTAATATTGTCAGGTTGGTGTTGAGCCTTCAATCAGAATGCTTCAATCCAACAAATGTGTGCACTATGCTCAAGTAGCTGCAAATCTGCCGAAATGTTGCTTATAAAATTGGATCGTTTTAAGTTCAAAGTTTAGCACTGTGACTGAGCAATTATCCCCACATTCAAACGAACTATGCAGGTAAATTTATCCTCCAGTCTTGCTTTTTTATACTGTTTAGATTACAATCTAGTAATTTCATGTAAATTATGCTCTTATTTCATCAGACTATGGATTTAAGTAACCTCGATAAGTTTACAGACTCTGTGCTTACTGTTGACTCTCCTGTTCCAATCTGTACGCAATCAGAGGAATGCTGTGTGGGAATTGATGAAGCTGGACGTGGCCCTGTCCTAGGTATGTAATTCAGGTGTTTTGGCAACTATATTCTTTTTCTATCAATCAAATATAGATTCGGCTTTCTTAAGCAATATTTCACTATCTACTACTTTCTTCTTGTAAGGAATTATCTTTCCGCATACCATTACATCGAAAGAACAGGATTTTTAAATAGGAACCATCCTGAAACACGCAATAACATTTTATTTGATTGTTTTCATCAAAATTGCTGGTTTATAACGTCATGCATCTTAATGTACAACTTCAGGTCCTATGGTTTATGGTATAGCATACTGCCCTGTGTCAAGAATTCCTGATATCGAAGCTCTTGGAGTAGGGGATTCCAAGCAATTGAAAGAGTCTGATCGAGATGAAATTCTTGGGAAGATGCATGAAAATTCAGATTTTGTTGGATATTGTGTTACAGTCTTGTCAGCAAATTACCTGTCAACATCCATGCTTGGACGGGAGAATTACAACTTAAATGCAATATCACATGATACAGCCATATCCCTTCTGAGGAATATAATTGCTAAAGGAGTCAAGGTATGATCTTTGATCCTTATGTTAAATAGAATTATGGTGATATTTAATGAAAGCTATATTGAATGTAAAATGTATCAGAACATTAGATACCAGTGAGATCAGATTCATGCCAAATAATTGAAATCTTTTATAGACTTTTAAAATTATAATCCCCTTGATTCAATAGCTATAGAATTTGTTTCAAAATACTTCATTAAGTCTATAGTCTATCTATACTAATAATCTCAAGATGTGTGTTCGTTCGCATGTAATTTCCTTAAGACTAAATCAATATGGTAAGAGTTACGGGGCTGATTTTTTCGGTATAGTGCTGAGAAAACTCTGATGAAGCCAAATGATAAAGGTTTTTTAATCGGTCGGTGGTAAGTGGTTTAATTTCAGATCATTTTGTGACCCAAATGTGATACTAAAGTGTGTGTGTATGTACTCTCCCACTCTCGCTCTCTCTCTCTCTCTCTCTCTCTCTCTCTCTCTCTCTCTCTCTCTCTCTCTCTCTCTCTCTCTCTCTCTCTCTCTCTCTCTCTCTCTCTCTCTCTCTCTCTCTCTCTCTCTCTCTCTCTCTCTCTCTCTCTCTCTCTCTCTCTCTCTCTCTCTCTCTCTCTCTCTCTCTCTCTCTCTCTCTCTCTCTCTCTCTCTCTCCCCTCATATAATTTTTTTATCTCACACTTATTTTACTTCGGAGTATTCCAACAGCCACATTGTTACACAAGTGTAACTAGCCAATTACAGGAAGCCGAAGGATTTAATTAGGCCAGTGACGGTTAAGGTAGTGTGTACCATACTTTCTTCGCCCAAGACTTCGCTGCAATGGACAGCTTCTCATTTAACCCTCACACACGATTTCTAGAATATTCGGCTGAGTAGACCGGGGGGCTGCATAGGTCCAACTCAGGATCTTTAGCTGAATGTCGACGACACTCACCCCACGACTAGGCAGGCAGTGGGTTTCGAACTCGCAATCTCACGATTACAAATCCGATGATTAACCAACTACGCTACCTGGCCGTAGTAGATTTGCTATATAATTAGGTAATTTGGCAGGGGACCTCAAGATTGCCTATCAAGTATTACTATTAGATATGTGAGGGGCACTCAGAATTAAATTGTGGTCTGTTTGGAATGAGCGAGTTCATACTTTCGCACCGTTTTAACTACAAACATGTAATGCGTGTTTTCGAATATAATAGGCGAGTTTATACTTTTGCATTTCAACTGCGATAGTGAACAGGAGGTGACCGGGACATGATTTCAGGGCCTGACCGGGACCGGGACCGGGATACAAAATGTGACTTGACCGGGACCGGGACCTTGACCGGGACTGAGATTCAAAGAGATTATCAATTTACCGGGACCGGGACTGGGACCGGGATGAAAAATGTGACTTGACCGGGACCGGGACCGGGACCGGGATAGCTCAAAATTGCCAATCCTAGTACCGGGATTCCCGGTACCGGGAATTCCGGTCGATTACTAGTTAATTCATGATCATAATTTATTACTCAAACTTGTTTAGCAATTTTAAACATTGTTGTATTTGGCTCAGAGGATGTTTAAAGATGAAATTCACAATGAATGAAAGGAAAAACTTAAAATCACAGTGAATGAAATTATGTAAAAGATCCCGGTCAAAATCCCGGCAAATTTGAGTGATTGACCGGGACCGGGACCGGGATCATAAATAAATAAATCAGCATTTGACCGGGACCGGGACGGTTACCGGGATAGCTCAAAATCCCGGTCACCTCCTGATAGTGAAGTCCCAGCCGTAGGCACGGGTTACACTAGTATTATATATTTTGGTTCCAATTCAGGTTAAAGATGTTTATGTGGACACAGTGGGGCCAGCAGAAAAGTACCAAGCCAAGTTGTCAGCTCTCTTTCCTACATTGAATATCACAGTTGCATCAAAGGCTGACGACAAATATCCCATTTGTGGAGCTAGCAGTATTTTTGCTAAGGTAGGTAAAAAGGATTACGGTTTAACTATGTATGTGAATGTGTATCTTAACTAATTGTTAAAATGTAGAATGTAAATCAATGAAATTACCCTAAAACTGTGACTAAACATACAATCTCTCATATCAGATTAAAATATTCCATCGTTTCTGGTTTATCTGACGATAATTGATTGATAAATGATACACAGTGTAGTTACACATGTCTCTTTCTCTTAAGGTTTGCAGAGATCGGTGTATGAAAGAGTGGCAGTTTCCAGAGAAGGGTTATGACATTTCTGATTCTGGATGTGGCTATCCGTCAGGTAATGGGGTATTTCCTTTCCACCCGAATTATTTTTCGAAAATTTTGATTTTTTTTCCTGAAAAGTTTAATTTTTTGCCTGGTCGACGTTGTCTGTAGAGTGACGTTTCAACGACTTCCGTTCAGACGAGCAGGGGAACGTGAACCAAAGGTGATCAGGATCTCATATCTGTCTAGTACTGCCCTTTTCTTCTAGATCATGATGTTTCGAACAGTGGTCTCGCCGATTCCAAAGTGTAGGGCTAATGAAGAGGAGGATTTGCCGCTCTTCAACATTTGGATCACTTCTCTCTTCTGTCTGATGGTTAGACGTTTTCGATTAGAGGAAGGAGATTCTCCGGTAGATATAGTGGAATTAGGTCGATTCATGCTGTACAGCTGATGTATAGACTAAAGGGATAGATTGACTTGATACGTGATCCCTTGCTGTAGTGCTTATATACATGAGCAAGACGCAAGCTCGTGCTCCACACTGTTATTGAATCACGTGACCATGTTCTCGTATAACGCCTTCGCTGCTGTGATGCTTGACAGTACTCCTATGACAGGGCACCACTGTGTTTGAGAAGGGTCAGTTTGTGCTACAGGGGAAATATGCCCAGGTCAAGATTCATGCGAGATGGCGAGACAGGCTCATCGCACAAAATCTTAAAATAAACACCGAAAAAAACTAACAAAAAATGTGTGAGAAAATAGAAAAAATGTAATTTAAAAGTTTTAAGCGACACAAAAATGTACTTTATACTTTGTAAATTCGGAACTTAGTGCGGTGTGAGATCACGTGGTTAAAGTATAACAACTTTGCCGCGCGCAATTAGTGCGAGATTTTGACGAGTTTAGTATAAATCTCACCCCAATATCGCGAGTCTGGCTGCGAGATTTCGGCACCCTCTTTCAGCACTACATATTCGGTCGCGCGCTTGCATTTTCATTGCTTTTCAGCGTGTTTATTCTTCTTTCCCATGCAACGGCCCCATAATACTATTCCTCAACTTGCTGGCCTTTTCGTCTTTATCATCAAGCCGACTTTTCATGGTCATTGAACTTTTGGTATTGATTGTTTTGAATTATTACTGGTTGTGTTAATCTGACGGCTTACTTTTCTGTACTGTCTAAGTCTGAAAGGATACTAGTTGTTGTCGATATTAATCAGTTTATAAGATCAAGATTCACAGTGGTTACTATAGTTATCATGGTTACCATTAAAGGAGGTCCGGTAATGGTCGAAATCTCAAGGTACTATTCCTGGCTACAGTGGACTCCATCTTTCTCAGAATATACTTGACACTGCCATAGGCACAGTGGATATTTCTTCATTAAAAGTTTGAAAAAGGGTCTCTTCAACTGTAGACCTGACTTATTAATCCTAGCAGGTAATTAACTCTGGATCCTCATCACATTGATTCCATTCTAAAGTCTAGCCATAAACAAAACAAATATTACCAGATAACTCCGTTTACCATAATTTGATATGTTCCAGTATGAAAGAGGCCTTCCCCGGACAAATCCTTAAATGCCAGTCTTCTCTAGCTGAAGTACGAACTGTATAATTTATCAGATAAAGTATATTACAAGGCGCTCTGATGATAATTTTAGTAAAATAATTAATAATTGCCAAAAGAATGACCGTCGATTCAACCTGGAATCAGCTGCTTAACGGCCGCGCCCTAAACTGGGGCGCTACGTGAGGCTTATCAGATTTACAATATGTAACATTATATACTTCATAAAAATACACACGTAAATTTTTCGTTATGTATGGATCCAAATTACGGCGGCATACTTACAATTCTGAGAAATAAACATCGAGCGACATACAATTTCGCTTACAAAGGGAAATGTTTTTAAATACAAAGTAATTTGTGGGGCAAGAAATTTTGCAGGCTGGGGGGGGGGGGGGGGGGGGGGGGGGAATCGCACTTTTAGTCTCAAAATCCAATCTAATCGCACTTTTTTTAGAATCTTGATAGGGGGAAATATGCGATCTGATCCGATCTGAACATGACAGATGTTGATAGCTAGTGATAATTACAGATTTCGATACGATTTGCAATGTACTACAAAGAAATCAAGAATAATAGTTAATAATAGTTAATAGTACCATGATTACAGTATGCACTGAAGAGTGACGGGGTATCCTAGGAAGTTTCTTGAAGGGGTATCCTTGAACTTTTAACAGGTACCCCTACTCATTTAACCCTCAATTAAGTTTCCAATCATTCGGCTGAGTCGACCAAGGAGATCGCATGTTATTGAATTTCTAACATGTTGATACTATTAAGTTACTGAGTACAATCGTAAGACAATCAGAAATATCCCCTCTTTTTTGACCAATTTTGTACCCCAAAAACCAAAACCCCGATTTACTGCAAACCCTGATTTACCGCGGGTTTTAGCCTGCGGTAAATCGGGGTTTTACTGTAGATTGATTGGTATTGACTATATAACTCTTTACAGACCCAAAAACAAAGAAGTGGTTAATGGATAATGTCGATGAAGTTTTTGGATTTCCTCAATTTGTCCGATTCAGTTGGTCTACTGCAGAAAAGATAATCGAAAAGCGCAGTGTACCTGTTTCTTGGTAAGTACTACATCAATACTAATAAGATGTTATATAATATATACCTGTGGTATATCCGTTCTACAGACTATTATTCCTGCTTTGAAGTAAAAGTTTGTTGTTGTACAGGGATAACGAAGAGGAAGAGGAAGAAAATATCCCTAAATTAAATTCGTTCTTCAAGAGAGTCAAGAAACAAACCGAAATTCCTCGACATCGGTTTTATCATGAACAAGGGTTGACTTCTTCAACAGAAATTTAAATTATGATGTTGTTACTATTATTAATTATTGACTATTGAGTACAATTATTTTAATTTTTATCATTTTAAAAGTAATATGCTGTGTTAGAGTTTTGTCGCAATATGCTACAGCAACGTTTTTATATCATATAAATTATCATATACAATTTATTTATTTCATCATTGATATTTCATGTAAAATTAATGCAAGGCTATCACTGCTGTCAAGAACAAAATTTGTTATTATATGATGTGATGTAGTCAGAAATCTAGTTTGTTTCTTCTTAGTTTGTCTCTATTGGTTGATTATAAATTCACTAATTATTTACTAATTCTCAATATGTCTTAGGAGGTTATTATGACGTCATGATAGAAGTATACTGCTAGTGATCAAAATATTTCTTTGTCTATGAGCCAGATTGTGTGACCTGGTGTTTCATCCGAATTTATCAGAATGCAGTCATATACAGAAATCACGCCATATGATGAAGATGATGCATGTAATAAGCCTAATTTGTCAGCGAGCATCAAACAAGATAATGAAAGTGAGTTATCAGAGATTGAGTCAATCGATGCAGATGGAAATAACAAAGATGAGGTCCTTGAGAAGGTGACAACATTTCAGAGACTAAAAGGAATGTTAATGATAGCTAGTGGTGGAATAATACTTCTCAGCACAACAACACTAGCTAAATATCTCAAGCACATTCCAACCGGAGAGTATCTGTTTTTAAGATTCGTCTTTGCTTTGGTGTTCATTCTCCCAACCCTTTGTTTCCAACAGCCTACAATTGATATGAAGGGAAAATTCAAACTGATACTTGCTCGTTGTACTCTCGGGTCGGTGAATGCACTTTGTAAATTCTGGGCGGTTATAAAGCTAGATTATGGCAATGCCATTGCCCTGGCTGCATGTGCTCCTGTTTTCGCTGCTATCTTCTCCCGAATCTTATGGAAAGAAAAAATCAGCTTGTTTACAATCATTGCACTTGTAATGGGGTTATCAGGAATGGTTCTTATTGCTCTGTTTATTGCTTTGATGTATGCAATGAAATCACGATGGTTGTTATCAATCTATCTGAAAACGTATATAATTTGTAATGCAATACATTATAGAATAAATGCAATTAGAAATATCAATAACAGTTCCTATCTTACTAGAAAGATTAACTGAAAACTATACTAGGAAAAGCTAAGCACAGTTACAAAGTGTAACACTCTACTCACCACAGTAGAGTTCAGGGTGATCTTGCTAAAGGGGAAAGATTGGTTAGAACAATCTCCACCCTATCTAAGTCTAAAATATAAAAGTTAAAACCCCAGAGGTATGGAACTACTAACTGTGATAGATAAATCAATTCAAAAGTCTAAAACAACAACAACATCGATTCAAAAGTATAAAAGGCTTGTTAAAAAAAAACAACTTAGAAGAATAAGCTAAATATTGAATAAATTAATAATTTAACAATGTCCATTAAAATGTTATAAAATTTTGTTCATTACAATGTTAAAAGGCATTCTGAAGTATGGTGAGTTCTCAAGTCTCAAGAGCCTACTCCGTTGGGTCCAGGTCAGTTTGTAGTAAACTGCAAACCTTTAATATCTGTAGCCTAATTTCTCAATCCTCAGTCCTCACAAAGGATGCTTTCATCCTTAATCCTATACTTCTCTCTAAACAGACTGCCCAGACAAAAATATAGAGAAACATTCAAGATAGGTAGAACTTAACACATTCAGAAATACCAGTCTAGTTGTAGTATGTGCTTGGCACTGTTCTCAGGACAAAAACTTCTTCAGACATCATCTCGGCAAACTTGATACTCTCTTCATTTCCATGGGGTTCAGCTATGGGAGGAGGTTCAGGAGGGTCTTTCTCAAGTAGCCAGTCTACTTTGTCTAAATTGACCCCGGAAAAACTTCCGTCTTCTGAAATGACATTCCAGTAGTTCTTGTTCATGCTGTTGACAGTGTATCCTCTAGACTTAAGCTGAACTTTGTGCCATGTATCCGAATCAGGTTCTTGGAATACCACTGTGTCTCCTTCAATTACTGCAGTTATCAAGCCTTCATTTTTCTTCATAGGTTTCCTTGCCTTTGGAGGTTTCTTTGTTTGTTCCACTTCTTCAGTAGTTCTCTCAATAGTTGTTTCTGGAGTGTCTTTAACTTCAACTATTGTAGGCTCTGCAGTTCCACCAGGTAGGTTGTTTGTTGTTTCCTGTGGTTCTTCTTGATCTGTCGTTCTAGTAATGGTTTGGATCTCAGGTTTTACTTGAGCACTTATCTCTTCAGGATCAAGATTTGGAATGTTGAAGTCTCTTAGAGTAGAATTATGATCAGAGTTTGTTTCTTGAGCTCTGGCTTGAGATCTCTCTTTACTATTCATCTGCTTATCTGCTTCTTGTTTTGGAACCATCACGTTTTCTTCCTGGATTGGGATCGCATAGTGACCTGATTTAGTCAACTCTAGCTTGTAATCTTCTCCACGGATGGTAATGGTGTCTGTCTCGAAATTAAGTTGTACTCCCATGCACTTCATTGACTTCAAAGATAATAGAAGAGGTATGTCACTGTTAACGATGTGTACTTCAAGCCGAATTTTGTGGGTACAAATTGTGACTGGGATGATCACTTTCTTAGAAGATTCTAGGGTTCCTACTCCAAATCTAAAGATGATTTCTGCTGGGAATTCTTTAACAGTGCTTCTTGTCTCGTCATCTACAGAATCTAGAAAGCATGAATACCAGTTTTCCCCGGCTACTGTTCTACTTGCTCCTGAGTCTAACAAAGCTTTATTGACAGTTTCTCCGGCTAGAAAAGCAGCTTCTTCTTCTTGACGGACGTTCCATTGGAAGAATATGGGTTTCACTGTAGGCATAGGTTCTTCATAGTATTCTTGGTTGTATCCGTAAAACTCTTCATTGTTGGGAATCATGTCTGACAGATAATAAGGAATCTGCTGGTTGTAATAGGCTGGGTTGGGCGGTCCTTGTCTGTAGCCTGAGTGTTGGTTATTAGGCATGGTGTGTTGCTGGTAAGGCGGCCTTTGGAAGTTCATCGGCTGTCTGAAAGGAGCTCTAAGAGGGCAGTCTTTGATCCAGTGTCCTGGAGAGTAGCACCCGTAGCAAACCTGTCTGTTGTCATTCCTCTGACCAAAAGGTCTCTGTTTTCCTCTAACATTGTTTCCAGTTCCGTTCCTATTGAACATTATTTGCTCTTCTGGGAGAGTATTTGAGTCTGTTGTCTCTTTTTTACCAGCTTCTGTTGGAAGTTTTCTTGTCTAAAGCTAGATAGCATGGCTCTGCTTTCACTTTAATAGGAAGACTGTCAGATTCTTCTACTTTGGATTTATTGAGTTGGGAATCAGCCAATCTCATGAGTGATTTCTTCATATCTTCCATTGTCATAGCTGTGCAGGTGGCTCTAGCTAACTTCTCATCTGCATTGGACAGATTGGCAGCTTTTAGTAATTTATAGGCCAGCACTAGTTCAGGAAGTGTCACTCCTTCTGTCTTCAGTTCTCGTTCTAGACTCTCGAAAATCAGGATAAACTCAGTCATTCTCTGTTCTGAGTTTCTTTTTAAATTTTCAAATCTTTCATATTTTCCAAGAGTATCATCACTCTCTAGGTAAATCTCATCTAACTGGGCTATAAGTAGCTCAACACCGACTTTAGTCTCAGGTGGCTCAGCATCAGCCTTCTTGGTCTTAAGAAGTTCTTCATCTATGGTTAGAGCGATGTCTAATGCTTTGTCTTTGAGAAACATGATCAGTATCATTGCTTTGTGTTCCTCTGACACCGTTGATACAGTTGCCCATATCTTAGCAAGCTGGCGGTACCGTGTATAACCAGTCCCATCAAATGATGGTGTGTCCTTTGACATCCTCACAGTAGTTGACGTAGTTGTAGTTGATGTAGTTTGAGTTTTAGTTGACGTCGTTGTAGTTTGAGCTTGCGCTTGCTGCTACCACTGTTTATTGCTTTGATGTATGCAATGAAATCACGATGGTTGTTATCAATCTATCTGAAAACGTATATAATTTGTAATGCAATACATTATAGAATAAATGCAATTAGAAATATCAATAACAGTTCCTATCTTACTAGAAAGATTAACTGAAAACTATACTAGGAAAAGCTAAGCACAGTTACAAAGTGTAACACTCTACTCACCACAGTAGAGTTCAGGGTGATCTTGCTAAAGGGGAAAGATTGGTTAGAACATGCTCAACCAGATTTTATATTTGGATCTGATGAATCCGACTCCAGAAAAGAGATCGGACCATTTGTCTTTGTACCAATTTTCGGATCAATGTGTCTTGGATTAGGGTTTAGTCTTTTACGAAAGATTGGTAAGAAGCCACATATTCTTATAGTACCCTTTTGGCAAGCTATATGTCTTATTCCAATTTCAGCAGTGTTCCAGTTGGGTAAACGTGATCCTGTCGTTATACCAGAATGTTATTCCGAAAGATACCTGTTCTGTTTAATCGGTTTTATTACAATGATAGCACTGTTTCTTTTGAACAGAGGATTGGCAATAGAAAAATCTCCCAAATCATTTTGTTGATTAACTAAGACTGATAGTTCCGATTGCAGTATCGGGAGTAAGTGATAAAGTCAATATATTGACGGTATGTTCTGCTGAGTGTAAAAGTGCTGCTCAGGACAACCAATGAAATAAGATTTTGTCAATTAGCCAGAGTCTAAGGCACTTGCCATTTCATTTTGTCGCCGTAGTAATTATCGAATATTGATGCTATGCCAATGCTATAGGTTGCATTAATTTCTTGTAGTTATAGTGGTTACATAGCTTAATGGGAAAATAATCTTTAAGATTGTAAAGAAAATCAATCTTCAGAATCGTCTGGATCTGACTCAGAGCCTCCTTCTCCCGAACCAAAAAGGAAGAAAACGTCAGAGCCCTCTCCCAGAAAGTCATCATCATCATCTGATAGCTCTGAAGAAGAACCTCCCAAAAGGGCACCCAGGAAGAAAAAAGGAAGCAGTTCTTCGGAAGAAGTGAAAAAGAAGAAAAGGAAGCCGAAAAAAGAATCTTCTTCTGATTCTGGGCCGTCCTCAAGTGACTCAGACGAGGCAAAATTGCGAAGGAAGGCATTACAAACCTTAAAGAAGCGA